TTAGGTCTCCTAAACCGGGAGCCGTTCGGCCCCAGAGACCCGCCTCTCATCCTTGGGCCCAGGCAGATTCGGGAGGAAGCTGATCCCAAGCGCCAGCCTGGCCTCGCCCACCCACCCACCCACGCGCCCCTTTCCAGGAGCCAGGCCTCCTCCTCCCCTCCCTCCTCATCCTCCTCCTCCCAGGCGCCCGCCCCCAACCCAGGCTCAGCTTCCCGGGAAGCCTCCGCCAGCGGATCCACCCGCATCGCCTTCTGCAACTGGCGCCCGCAGGTGAGCCAAGTAGCCAAAGGGACGCTTGGAGAGGTTCGGAGAAATCCCCCCCCCCGTTGGTTGGAGGGGGGTCTTCTTGTCCTTGGGGAGCCTGCTTGGAAAAGGGATCTTTAGTAAACCCCCCCCCCACAGCTCCAGCTCCATGTGGCCTCCTTTGCCCCCCCCCCTCAATCCCTCTTGCCAAATTAGGCTGTCTGCCTCTGCTTCCCCCTCCCTCCGCCTTCCAAGCGGCGCGTCTTCGCCTCACCTTGCTTGCCAAGAAGGATGACGCGCAAAAGCGCATCAACGGGAAATGGGGAGGGTGGCTGTTGGGGGGAGGGGGAAGGGGGAAGGGCAGGGTTTTCAGCCTCCCCCCCCCCACCTCTCGGAGGTGACTGAATGAGCGTTGGGTGCTTTCTTCAACCGTGGCTGGTGGAATAAAGGCATCCCTTTTACAAAAGGGGCTAGGAAAAGCTAGATTTGTGAGGAAGGTGAGGGGGTCTCGCCTCTGCCCCCTCCCCGCCTTGTCTTTGCATCCTCGGGACTTGGCCAGCTGGGTTCAGCCGAGTCTCCTAAAGCTTGGTAGGATGGTATCTGAGTCTCTTGACTGTCCTCTGGATGCGTGTTCGGAGGTTGTGGGAAGCCCTCGCGTGAAATAAGTCCTGGAGTGAAAGCCAGGAGTCTTGGGTGTGGGAACGCAGCCAGGTCGGTTGCAATACCCCGAACCTCCCTCCCTCCTTCTTTTTCTCTTTCTCCTTCCTTCCTTCCTTCCTTCCTTCCTTCCTTCCTTCCTTCCTTCTTTCCTTCCTACCTACCCATCCACTTCCTTACTTACATGCAGCCCTGGGGGAAACTGGAATAACGAAAGCATCGTTGAATTTCCACACAAGTACAAAACTGTAGCTATGGGACACAACTTCTAATTTCCCATAATCGTCCGTAAGGTCACCCCTTTCTAAGACCAGATGGACAAGAGGATTCTGGGAATGCTACCGCATTGTTGTAACAGTGTCACTTTTTGAGATGGAAAGAAAAAAAGGAAGGAAGGAATCAGGAAGGAAGGGTTGGTGGAAGGAAGGAAGGGGAGGGAGGGAGGGAGAGTGGAGGGAGCAGAGAAGGGAGGAAGGATAATTAAAGGAAGGAAGGAGGTCAGGGAGGAAGATAGGAAGGATGAGGAAGGGAGGAAGGAAGGAATCAGGAAGGATGGGTGGGTGGAAAGAAGGAAGGAAGGGGAGAGAAGGGAAGAAGGATACTGAAGGGAAGGAAGGAAGGAAGGAAGGAGGTCGGGGAGGAAGATAGGAAGGATGCTGAAGGGAGGGAGGGAGGAATCAATGAAGGATGAATAGGTGGAAGGGAGGAAGGAGAGGGGAAGAGAGGGAGGATACAGAAGGGAGGGAAGGAAGGAAGGGGAGGGAGAGTGGAGGGAAGAGAGAAAGGAGGGAGGAGGTCAGGGAGGAAGATAGGAAGGATGAGGAAGGGAGGAAGGAAGGAATCAGGAAGGAAGGGTTGGTGGAAGGAAGGAAGGGGAGGGAGGGTGGAGGGAGGTGAGAAGGGAGGAAGGATAATGAAGGGAAGGAAGGAGGTCAGGGAGGAAGAAAGGAAGGATGAGGAAGGAAGGAAAGAAGGAATCAGGAAGGATGGGTGGGTGGAAAGAAGGAAGGAGAGGGAGAAGGGAGGGAGGATACTGAAGGGAGGGAAGGAAGGAAGGAGGTCAGGGGGGAAGATAGGAAGGATGCTGAAGGGAGGGAGGGAGGAATCAATGAAGGATGAATAGGTGGAAGGGAGGAAGGAGAGAGGAAGGGAGGGAGGATACTGAAGGGAGGGAAGGAAGGAAGGAGGTCAGGGGGGAAGATAGGAAGGATGCTGAAGGGAGGGAGGGAGGAATCAATGAAGGATGAATAGGTGGAAGGGAGGAAGGAGAGAGGAAGGGAGGGAGGATACTGAAGGGAAGGAAGGAAGGACTTCTCTGGCTGCCTCTTCCTCCCTTCCATTCAGTCCCCAGGAAAGCCAGGAGAGGCAGCCTAAGGAAGAACAAACGCTATTTCCTTGGCCATCTTGCTACTAAATCAGTACAGAAACTTCACACTTCCTCCAGATGAATTTCTCTGACTCTCTCTTTCCTTGGAAGGCATTGAAAAAAGCCAACTCTTTTGAACAATCTGGTGCGGAGTGAAGAGAAGAAGCCTTTGAGGTTTTCTTGTTTTTCCTTCTTGGCCTCCTTTCCTTACATAACATCTGGACCAAAATTTGGTCTCCTCCCTCTCTTTTCCTGGAGTCCTGACGGCTCAACCCTGCTAATTCTGGAATAGAACCTGACACGCCGTAGCCGAAGGAGGATCATTTTAATCCCTTTGGAGAGGACTTGGCTTTTACGTCTTCATATTCAGAGGGCGAAATTGCTTTATTACATCCGTCATTCCTGGCCGGGGGACATTTATCAAAAGAGGCAGAGGGCTTTTTAGTAGTCTAATCCAGCGGTCACCAACTGGTGGGCCACGAGAAAAAAATTGGTGGCCTGCAGAAAAATTATTTGCATTTTTTATATTGCACTAAACCAGGAGTCCTCAAACTACGGACCCTGCTGCAGAGGGTCTCCCCCTTAGGGGTCTTTGTGGGGGTCGGAGGGGGACAGAAATCCCGACTTGGGGTCTGCTTCAGCCTCCTGGTGGGGG